TTATAGAGTTAGAAACTGACCTTGGAGGGTGTCTTGTTCAGTTTGACTGAATCCTTTCTAAAAATGTCTCCAGCAAAGTGGTCATCCTCTTGAAAATCTCCACGCAAGGTGAATAATTGCCCAGTCACCATACATTGAGTCTAAATTTATCCATATACAATTTCAGTTAACTGCAATGCAAGATAAGTCAGGGAAGCTGCTAAAATATTTTCAAGAAAAAGAAAAAAACCTGAAGTTTAAGAACTTGAGGAAGATGAAGTTGGTGAAATAAATTAAACAAGAAGAATTACTTAGATAAGTTAGAAGGTTAATGAGACAAGAAATTGGGAGAGGTTGTCAAGGTGCTAAAAAGATGAGAATAATAAAGGAAGTTTTAAAAAGAGTTGAGAAGGTGAGAACAGTGTCTGTTTTGGACATAAAGATCCCCACAAAAATCTGCAAGAATATTTCTCCTGGAGAACTCCTGGGAAGACTGAAAAAGGACTGAAGTTATCACTCAACAAGTTTCGAGAATAGAAAAGTTTTTGAATTTTGTAGTGGCCTGTACAGTGTGCAGTGCACATTTCTTCTATAGCTAAATAATATTTTATTATTCTAGGTACAATTTATTACAGAAGAGAAAGCAAAAGGGGTCTAGGAAGGCTACTCCATCCTCCATCATTAAGGACAATAAAGCATTACTTTAGAAATGGATCAGCACCAAAATTAATAGCTCCAGAGTTTCAGGGACTTCAGAGGCCCATCTAGTGGAATCTTATCATTTCACAAATGAGGACAGTGAGGCCTCAGGAGATAAAGTGACTTGCCAAAGGTCACATAGGTAGTAGCATTCTGAGGTGGAATTGGAATCCTAGTCTGTTGGTTCCCCTGCAATATTGTGCACTGGGTCACAAAAGCAGGCTTTAGTATGAAAAAACAAACAAAAAATGTATGGAAAGAAGGAGGAGAGAAGCCTGACCTGCATCAAGAAGTTGGAGGTTGAAAAAAAATACATCAAAGAGGAAAAAGGAAAGATTTTCTTACAACTTGTGGCTAAGTAGTTGATATGAATCTCTACCTGGAAAAAGAGCTGGATCATTGTACCATCTAAGGAAGAAGTAGCGGCAAGTCGTCCACGTTATTATAATATGAAGCCAGAGCTACAAGGAACTATGTTGCTACAAACTCACTGTGTGAACCTTGGTTGACAATACATTTGTGGTGTTTTGTCAATTCTGAGTCACATTTATTGGGCAGGACTTTGATGTTCTGGAGAATACCTGGAGAATGGCCACAAGGATAATGAAGGGCCTGGAGATCAATTCAGATCTGCCTAAACAAATTGTGGTATTTGATTATATTGGATTATTATTTTGCTATATAAAATGATGAGCAATGCTTTAAGTGCATTAAATAAAATACATAGGATTAAAAAGGGTAATGAAAGTTAGTTAAAATAAAGATGTACGTACTGTGGACCTCAGGTTAAAAAACTGAAGAAACTCTAGGAACTTGATCTTTGATTCATTCTCTCATTTTTTTTTTATGTTTTCCTGATCTATTTTTTTCTATGCCTAAAAATAGTTCCACCTTCTCTATCTTAAAAACAAAACAAAACAAAAGAACATAACAAACCCAAAAATCTTAATTTGACTCCGATGTTTCCTAAAGGTTTCATCCTGTTTCTTTTCTCCTTTTCATAATCAGATTCCTTGAAAGGTAGTCTATACACATTGCTTCCATTTCTACACTTACAGCTACTTCTCCATTTTTGATCTGGATTCTGAACCCATTATTGGACACAAACTACTCTTTCGAAGGCAACCAATTATTTTAACTGCTAAATCCAAATGTACTTTCTCAGAACTCCTACTTCTTGACAGTTCTATAGCTTTTTATATTAATGGTCATCCCTACTTCCCTGCACAGTCACTCCTAGTTGTGTTTCTGTGACATTATATTCTCCTGGTTCTTCTCTTATATTGCTGACTACTCATCATTCTCCTTTGCTAGATTATCATCATTCTCCCACCTAATAAGTGTTATCTTCTCCCAGAATATTTTTCAGTTTCTCTTTGATCTTGGGGTGATGATAAAATCATGGAATAATAGCTATAAAACTAAGTGGTCCTCAGATGCAATCTAATCTAAACATCTCAGGTTTAATGAGGAAATGAGGAAACTGAGAAGCTTTTAGGTGAAGTGACCTACCACACAGGTTGAAAGTGGTAGAATAATGATTTGTACTCTGACCTTTGGGCAGCTAGGTGGTGCAGTGTTAATAGCATTTCATGCTTGAAGTCAGGACGACTCATCTTCTTGAATTCAAATCTGGCCTTAGACATTTACTTGCTGTGCAATCCCTGGGCAAGTCACTTAACCCTGTTTGCTTCAGTTCCTCTTCTGTAAAATGAGCTAGAGAAGGAAATGGCAAACTACTTCAGTATTTTTGCCAAGAAAATCCCAAATGGAGTCATGAAGAGTCAGACACAACTGAAACAACTGAACAATCTCTGACTCCAAGTCTAATGTTCTTCCCAATTCATGAAACGTGTATCTCTAAATTTTCTCATTTAATGATCTTACTCTTCTAAAGACTTTGCTCATCTCCTCTATACAGATGATACCCAAATATATCTACCTACCATAATCTTTCCTTTAAATTCCAATCTTATTTCATGAACTACTTAATGGAACATGTCAACCTGGGTGTTCCCCAAATACCTCAAACTCAATGTGTCTAAAACAGAACATTTTATTTTCCTCAAACATACCCTTCATGTAAACTTTCCAACTTCTGTTGATGACAGCACAATATTCCAGATTTCCAATGTTTAAGTTATTATTTATGCTACCCTTTACCTCATCCCTACTTCTACTAAGTTACCAATCTTGTTTAGTCTACCTTCAAAACATCTCTCGCATCTGTTCCCTTTGCACATTCACGGCCTCTATCATTATTCAGAGCATCCTCTCCTCCCACAGCAATTATTGCAATAGCCTCCAAATTAGTGCCCATGTCTATATGGATCCCCTATCCAATCCATCCTCCAACAAACTGATGGAAGAGATGTGTCTGACCACCCTCATTACACAAAAATCTTCAGTAAAAGACCATCTCCTGAACCTTGCTTCTATAACCTTATATACTATAACTGCTACTTAGTCTTTAGATTCTTAACTCACAATTCTCTGCTTCTCACAAGTACTGTTCTACTCAAATTGACCTGCTATCTGTTTTATGTACACAACATCCTATCTCCAACCTCTACGGCTTTGCTCAAATGGTTCCCCCATGTTCAAAAAAAAAAAAAACTCTCACTGCTCATCTCTACCTTGTACAACTCTTAACTTCCTTTAGGCATGACTAAGGCACCATTGGAAGCATTTTTAATATTCCCAGGTATTATTCCTCTTTTGCTCTTGAAATTAATTACTCTATACTTACTGACTTCTATACATATTTATTGCCACAATAGAGAAAAAGTGTTATGAGTGTAGATTTTCATTTTTATTATATTACTAGCATCTTGCATAGAGGTCTTGACATATAGTAGACATTTAATAAATGTCACAAGATTAAAGACTAAAACTCAAATCCCATTCCTTTAACTTATATTTCCTCCCCAAATTACTTTTACATGATTTTTATTCTTTGTTCCTACAGGTATAAATAGGTTTTTATCCCTTCCCTATGTCATTCTGTTCAGCTCGCACCTCCCTTCCTTGTAAGTATTCTACTTTCAGTCAGTATTCTTGTTTGTTTGCTAGTGTGGTAGTAAATACTATATTCCTAATAATAATAGGAGGAAATGATAACATATTTATATAGAGCTTTAAGGTTTCCAAATCTCTTTTATGCCAATGACCAGGAGAAGAAAATGAAACAAATGTTATTTTTCCTACTTTACAGATAAGAAATCTGAGGATCAAAGAGGATAAATGACTTGCCTATTATCACATGGTGTACTTGGGAAATTATATACTTACATTCTAATTTATATTGATCTTATCTATATAGTTTATCCCTTAGGAGAGTTTAAACTCTCTTAATGCAGGGATTTACTTTCTTTTTTTTCTTTTTAATCATTGTATCTCCAGTACCTAGTAAAGGTCATTTCCTATAATACATGTTTCATTGACCTTTATTGAATTGTGGTTGATAACATGGATAATATAGTATGTTGTCTGCAACACTGAGTGAGATATGCCAGCTACTCCATGCAAAACTGCTGGAACACAGATAAATTCATATGTACATTTTAATACTAATATTTTTTCAAAAATCAAAAACTAGAGTTCTTTGTTAAATCACTGATTTCTTGAGGGAAGATCCAAAGGGAGCTATCCTTTTAAGATAAACAAGGGAAGACCTTGAGGCAGACTACAACAAGGAATCCAATTTGCTTTGAATTTCGTCATTTCTGAGTCTCTCTACTTCTTGGCAAAAATATCACAGGGCCTTTAAACTGTATAGGTCCAGTATATTTCAGATCTGCAATAGCAAGACCCCTGGAGGGATTAAGGGTTTCTCGGAAAAATTGGTCTCTGGCTAATTAGAACTCCGGGTTTCCAGAAAATTGTTATCCTTGAAAGGGTTTTAGAGGCCTCAGTAATAATGCTAATGTGGCTTCTCCTTGGCTTTCTCTTCAATAACTGCCGCTGGGTAAGTACATGGTTAATTAGCATTTAACTTTAAAGCCTTGGAGGAAAAAGAATTAATTTGTAGCAAAATTACCCACCTTACTTGAGGATAATGTTCCTATTTGTCTTATTGGTTCTTAACTGGGCTTATCTTATTTGTTTATATACTGATTTTAGTTAAGTAGTTTAAAAGACTGTTTACAGTAGTTTCTTTGCAGGTGTTAGTTTATGAGACTTTATTTCTTGCTATGTTTACCTGTTGACACTTCTGTTTTATAGTGATTTACTCTACTTTGAAGGGGTGGAAACATCTGGGCCACAGTTTTGCATCTGACTCACCTTTCCCTCAAGAGGTCCAGAAAAAATTCTGTCTCTACCCTCTCTAAACTTATATGCAATGTCTAGAGGAACTTGGCCAGTATTTCCTCAGTGCTCATGTCTTCTCATATTACTCTAGGCAGACAAAAATCAAGGATGCTAAATAAGGAAAAGTGAGTAGTTATTGAGTAGCCTTACCAAAGTCTGAATGTGCTGGATCTTGGCTACCTGTAAACCCATTTTTTTTTCCCTCTAAGGTACTTCAGTCTCTTAAACCAAGGTAATGAAAAGAGAACGTCTGAACCCAGAACCTAGCTCTGACATTTAGGATCACAGATTTATAACTGGAAGGGACATCAAAGGTCACCTAGTACAACCCCCTCATTTTCCAAAAGAAGAGAAAAGGAAAACAGGCCCTAAACTCTTTAATCCCTGGACACCAAATAAAAGAAAAGCAAAAAGCTTCTTGAGAATAAAGGAATGGCCAGGGAGAGAGGGGGGAGGTTGGGGGGGGGGAGGTGTTGCTCAGGACCCAGAATTGATTACAATAGACTCTATATAAACAGTAAGTCCTAGGGTAATTTCTCAATAACCATTCCATATTCATTTACATTCACATGTCCCATGATGCTAGGCTCTGTTCAATCCTTGACCATTAGGATAAGATGGGCCTTCACGTAGTTCTTTGGCGTGGGGACCACATGCAGTGCACCAGGGAAAGAATCCTTCTTTTGTGAAGAAAAACTCATCTTTATCTAGCTATACTCGATCAAGCCAGAGATCATAGGACTTGTCGTTTGTTCTTCATTTTTGAAGAGAACAAATGCCATCAGGAGGGTGATGTCCAGACTTGCAAGTAAGTTGGATTTAAGTGAGGCAGAGCTGTACAAAACCATCAGCTTCACTCTTTTCTCCAGGCTCCTCTGAGTCCAGTAGCAAGATAAAAATCAGTATAAGTAGAGATGACCCCAGGTGTGGTGGGAGACCTTGGCTTTTTTGAGCTAAGGTCTTTCCCAGGTCTCAGTTCATCTGAGGCAATACCCATTCAGTGATTTAAGGCTAGGTAAGCAGTGAGGCAAAAGATGGCCTACTAAAAAAGAAAAAAAAATCAAACTAGGAGGGGAAGATCCCAGAGTTCATAAGAACAGAAAGGATGCAACAACAATTCAGAGGCAGAGAGTTAACACAGAGTCAGAAGAACACATGATGCAGGAAAACCACAGACATTGGTGAGAGGATGTTTGTCTCAAGCAGTTCTTTTATGGTAGCAAGGAGAAGGAGTCAGGAGAGGGAATTCAGGCATAATTTAGGATCCATTTTAGGAACTGGAATTGTTTAGCCCACAGAAGAGAAAATTTACATTAGGAATTATAGTTCTCCAGTAACTGAAGGGTTTTCCTGTGTGGGAGGAATTAGACTCCTTTCATTTGATCCCAGAGAACAGAACAGGAATCAATAAGTGAAATCTGCAAATTCAGTTGAATTCAGTTCAATTCAACAGACATTGACTAACTTTCTACTATGCATAAGAAGCAAAGGCAAATTTAGGTTTCCCACAAGGAGAATTTTTTGTTTCTTTTCTTTCTTTTTCTTTTTTTAACAATTAGTACTATCCAAAAGGTAGTAGGCTATCTCAGCAGGCAATGGTCTCTCCTTCACTAGGGCTTATTTGTACCCCTAAGAGATACAGCCAGGCCTTAGTGACATCTGGAGCTTGGAGGGGCCTTTCCCTTCCCCTATACCCCAAGTGATGTTAGATCCACTTTAAAAGCCAGGGTGCTGGAGATGGGCACCTGTGTCTACATGTTGGCATTTCCTGTTCTGCACATTCTTTTTTCAGGGTTCAATAAAACTTACCTACAAGCAAAACAAACAAAAAAAAGGAATGGATGACCATTCATGCCTTATATTGCAAATGGCTTTGGGTAGGTGATCACTTAGGTACTTTCCAACTATTCTATCAGAAGGTTTATCAAAAGAGATTTCCTCAGCAAAACAAGGAAGAAAATAACATGCACAAAAAAAATGGCTTTGATAAAAAGGAATATGTGATTAGTCTAAAAGAGAAGCTCAGGAAAAGTGCTATGAGAATCTTGAAAAAAGAGAAATTTCAAAGGCAGGGCAAGATTGGGTGGTTTTGAAAGGTTTTGTGGAGGTGCTAAACTAATTTTAAACTAAACTTTAAGAAAGTAGGTAAGATTCCTGACAAGAAGTAATGAACTCAGTGTGCAGATTGAGACTTACTTGGGAGAGAGAGGAAAAGAAGGAAGGTAAATGTAACTTATAAATATTAATTGCAAAGCTTATTTTTTCATCTTTTCATTTCCTTTTCAGTTGGGAAAGTGGGAGAAAAGATGACAAATTTTGGTTAATTAAAAAATAAATTTATATTTTGAATAAAGTAAGTAGGTATTTTAACAAACAAAAATATAAGCATTTATTTAAGATAAAGAAGACATTAAGAAAAAGGTAACAATACTAGAAAGGGAAGGACAAGAAAAATTTCATTTATAACCTCAAAAATACAATAAAGTACCACTACCTCGTTATAGTGCCTGAAATCCAAGAAATAGATTGTTTTCCTGGTACACATGACATTAAAAATAAATGAAGTCAGTTCATCAAGTACTTGATATCTTGTATCTAAAAAAAGTTCTGAAACCTTGCTTCTTTTAACAAAAAGCTGACCATTTTAGCCTACTGAAAACAAAATGCCTTGATATAGAGCAGTGGTTCCCAACATTTTTGATCTTAAGACTACTTTACATATAAAAATTTGATAACTCTTCCTCCAAAAAGCTTTCTATTATGTATGTAGGGTATACCTATCAATATTTATCATATTAGAAATGGAAACATCTTACTATTATTATGAAAATAGTTTTGATATTGTAGACCCCCTGAAAAGACCTTGGAAACCCTCAGGGATCTCTAGGTCATATTTTTAGAACTGTTTGTTTCATGAAATATAATGAATTACTACCAACAATATTCTCAGCTAAGGTCCACACCCTGAACTTGAAATTCCTTAATACTAATTATCATGATATCCATAAAAACTGTCCACATTTTATACATTATTTTTGCCAACTCTGCAACTTTTTAGATCATCACAGATCTTAAGTACCAAAAAATGAAGCCTTGTGATCCTGGATAAGAAAGTGCAGCCATGTGATAAGGAGAAATCAAGGATGTAACCAGTGTTCTGTCACTGGGGAAATGATTCACTCTTGTGCTTTTCTTTTTTCTCTTTGTTGCATCCTTTACTGATTTTTATGAGGTACTTTTAAAAGAGACTGAATGGACAGTAGCTTCTATCCCAGACTGAATTATAAAGAAGGACCACTAAAAGTTATACAATTTTATATCATGTCATTCCTCCAGCAAAGGTCGTACAGTGTGCATATATGTTTGAGGGGGTAGAAGGATAGAGTTATGCATACATATCACACACATACACATGCATACACACATATGAAAGAGATATGCATGTATTTGTTCATCTATCCCTTTTATCTATCCACCTGCCCATCTTTCTCTCTTTCATTATCCATTTCCTAGACCATGATTTTTTAACTTGCTGTATTTCTTATTAACAAAAGCTCCTGGGAGATAAATTTCATATATACACTAGAAAATATATATCAAATAAATTCTACTGTGTTTTCCCTAAGATGTCACTTAGCACTTAGTTTTACAATTCTCCAATAAATTAATCCACAAGTATATATTAAGTGCCTACTATTTGTCAAGTATATGTTAGGCATAAGATATATAAAGCCATAAATGAAATAGTCCCTGCTCTCAAGAAGCTTATGCTCCATCAGGAGAGAAACATATACAAGCATATACATGATAAACACAAACTAAACAAGTTAGGGAGGTAGGGCACTAGCTACTGGGAGAAGCAAAAAAGACTTCATGTAGAAGACGATGCCTGAACTGAGTCTTAAAGCAATCTAAGGCTTCCAGGAGACAGGGAGAAAGACAGATTGCATTCCAGGCATGATGGATAGCAAGTGCAAAGGCATCAAGACAGGAGATAAAGTGTCTCATGTGAGGAATAGTGAGAAGGAAAGTTTGACTAGACGGGGGGGGGAGGGGAAGGAGCCTGCAGCCTCAAGGCCACATGTGGCCCTTCAGGTCCTCAAATGCAGCCATTTGACTGAATCCAAACTTCACAGAACAAATACCCTTAATAAAAGTATTTTCTCTTTAAAACCTGGACTCAGTCAAAAAGCCACATTCAAGGACCTAGAAGGCTACATGTGACCTTGAGGCCATAGGTTCCCCACCCCAGATTGGACTTCAGAGTGAGAGGAGAGTAATATGAAATGATGCTAGGAACATTGGTTGGAACAAGGTCATAATAAATGTTAAAAGATAAACTAAAGAGTATATATTTTACTCTGAAGTCGGTAGTCAGTAGGGAGCCACTGCAGTTCTCTGAAAAATCTGGAACATTGTCAGATTTGTTTTTAAGGGAAATCATTTTGGCAATTTTATGGAGGAGGTTATGAAGTTATCCATGATACGTTTTGTTACAGTGCTTTGGCATGAGAGTCCCTCCTGGGAGTTTTCAGTGTTCCGCTATTGACCTTTGCTTTCTACAATTGACTCCCATATGCATACTCCCATAGTGCAGGTGTGGCTGTCAACAGGCTATCTCTTTGTCTGGGTATCCAGTTTATAACTTCAGTAAAGTGATATTTGTAAGTGCTTTGCAAAACTTAAAGTGCTATACAAATGCTTGCTATTATTATTAATTCAAGCAAATAAGCAAACACACATATTGAATGTACATGCTGAAAAAATTATGATAGAAATGTGTAATCAAAATAGACGGTTTGGAAAACATTGGTAAAGACAATATACAGTCTTCATACATGTTTTTCCCCATTTGGATGGTTAGGGTAAAATTTCTTATTCAGTTATGTATCTCACTTCAGAGACTGTAATGTTCCAAGTCTTGATGCAATCAGTAAAATGACATCCAAAAACAAAAATATCTGGAAGAACCATTCTATTTGGACTCTATGCTGAATATCCTGAGTGATAGTTCTACCATATATCCCTTTCTCTTATGTTTCATTTGATATTAATAATCAGAGAATTATTAATTATCAGAGAAGCATTGGACAAGGTTATTTCTGCTGCTATATCTTTCAAAGATTTTCTTGGGATTTCAAAATATACATGAAAGTCATTTTATTGATGGAGAACCTCTAATTTAATTTCAGCAAATCATAGTAGGATGTTTTCTTTCCTTCTCCTTAAAACAGCTAGAGTTTAGGAATTTTTTAGGGTTTTTTTTTGTGCCCATTACAAATGTAGCACTTGTTTGGTTTTAATTTAAAAGCTTATTTTATAAAATCTACATTAATTTTTCTAGATAAAAATTGGGAATCCTGAGAAAAGAAATGGTGGCATATTATCATTATCTTAATCATCTTATGAAATCTTACTGCTGATAGTCCAATCAGCTAATAAATACAGGTTGTTGAGTTAATTTATCAGTTGTCAGTGTTCAAGGAAGGTGGAAAGAGTTCTGGACTTGGGTGAAAAACACTTTATATGCCAGATACTTATAACAAAATTGTTTATGTGTTGAAGCTAAATGTTCAATTATTTTAAACTGTTAAAGAAAAGGGGGAAAAACTCAATTCTTTCTGACTTCAATTCTCACCATTCTATTTGCCACGTCAAACTGTGTCTAGATTTTATTAGCCAGTTGGATGGTGCAGTAGGTAAAGCACTGGACCAGGAATCAGGAAGACTTGAGATCAAATTTTGCCTCAGATCCTAATTAGCTGTGACCCAGGACAAGAAACTTAAACTCCAACTTACTTAGTTGTCCTGTCTATAAAATAGAGATAATAATAGCACCTACCACATAAGGTTGTTGTAAGGTTACTTGAGATATTTATAAAGCATTTGTAAATTTTATAGATCTGTATTAAAGCACTATGAAAAGCTATCTAGATTATATTGTGCTCAAAGAAGTCTTGTAGAGATAGAAATGTAGGCACATAGGACAATAATTATTGATATTATCTTTGCCTTTGGTGGTGGAAGGGAGTTATCAATATTTTTGACACTTTTGTTGTCCTACACTTATTGATACACTTTGAGAATCTATTTCTTAATGTCTGCAAAATTACGCCACCTCCAGCATGGACCTCATCTATATGTACTTGATCTAGTCCTGGGACTCTTCCCATACTTGTTTTCTATAGTACCATTTTTCACTCTCTTTTAGAGTTTGAATACAGCAGTTTCATTGTCAGAGAAAAATATTTATTATATAAATCTTGATGAATCATTTCCATTTTTTCCTCTATGAATTCTATTTTTTGCAGGTTCAACTGTGTTATTGATGCAAGTGTTCTTTAATTGGTAATCTTAATATGTTTTCTGTAATTTTTTTTCTGTTTATGTTGTGTATTTCACCATCCTCTTCCACAGAATTTATAAAAGAGTCTATGTTGTGAACTTGGATTGCCATTATCTACTCACTGCTTCACAAAGAAATTAAAGATTTTCTGACTACAGTTCTTTCACATCTCTTTTGATCTTTTATTGTGATTGATTTAATAAGATAATTCCCCTGGAAAAGAGTACTAATCTTTGTTAATGACTTTTCTTTTATCATTCTTCATTTTTTTTTGTTTTACACGTTTAAAACTCATTTTAAACTGGGCAGATTAAGATTATTTCTTTTGAAATCCATATCTTCTCATTTTGAATTATTTCTCTCAGATATTAATGGTGTTATTTGTTATGTTGATTTTGTACCTGCAGGTTTTTGTACCTATACAACCCCTTCAGAAATGACTCACACCTAAGTTGTTTCATCTGCACTAAGGTAAGTTTCCTATTTGTGAGATGATTCAGGGCTAACAGTATCTAATATCTTCTAAATATTTTAATTTGAGGGGTGAGAAAAGACTCTTGATGCATAGTTGTGAGACTTTTACATAGTCTGTAAGTCTTTTACATCACTTATTTCTTTCTCTCAAATGATGTTTTAAATATTTTTTTCCCACAATTTTGTGTCCACCTTTCCATTAATTTCACCTAGTATTGAAGTTTGTGTCTTTTGGAGAGTCTTCCAGTTTTCTTTATAAAATTTCCCTACTTCTTGTTCAATGTAATACATGTCAGCACATAAACTACAATTATCTTTGTGGTGGTCTGTTTTTAAACAGGTACTTTTCATGAACCTTTAATATGAAATGGACAAGTGTCCCATAAAATAACATTTTCCCCCTACATTTCTAAATATTTTTGCCATTACTACCCTTTATATATGCTATCTTCCAGGTAATCTATCCTACTTGCAATTCCTCGTACACAACATTTTACCTCCATCTTCTGTGGCTTGATACAAATAATCCCAATGTCTGTAATGCTCACCATTCTCTTCTCCACCTTTTGAGACCTCTATTTCCATTGAAGGCTCAAGCTCTATGCCCTACAGAAGGCTTTTCATAGCCTCTCCTCATTGGCAGCACTTCACACATCACTAAATTACTTTTTGTCTTTATCATCACGTGTGTTGTGCTTCCCTAATTAGAATTTAAGATCTTTGATGCAAGAATTGATACTTCTCTTTTTGTATCCCAAGTGCCTAGTGCCCACAGTAGGTTCTCAAGTCAAGCTTCTAACTGTTATCAAGAGGACCCATTGACTATTCATGGAATACACTTGGCTATACTAGGTGATGCAGATGCTGTCTGGATCTTAACTAGATCTTAACGTAACTCTGCTCTCACTCCATTTTCCTCTTGCCTCTCCTTGGTCTTTGAACTCCTCACATTTTCTCCTTGCTCCTCTTGGTTCCTTCCTCAAAGGTGTGTATTCTCACTGTTAAAGTCTTATCTAAAGGAAAAGGCCTCTGTTGAGAGAGGGCAGAGAGGAAGATGGCAGGAGTCAGAGAAGTATTACATCTAGAAAGGAAAATTCACTGGAGACTTTATTTTGGGTGTAAACACTTAATAATGCACTATCTTCTGAATTCATAGATAAACATTTGTGGTTTCTCATGCTTTGATTTCCTTCCATTTATTCCCAGCAGTTCATGTTTGGTAATGGAGTAGGAAGCTAGTGATTTTCCACAGGAGGCTTGGTTATGGGTCTTAGCCCTGACTTATGAATCTCTGCCTATTTTAAACACTAGTAAACTTTCAAAATTATCTGGAAAGAAAGTGAGTCAGCAGGAACTTTGAAACCCACTGTTGTCATGGAGTTCTCTGTGTGCTTTAGTTTCTGAGAAGTGGACGGGGCGGTACCCAGAGGGAATTGAGCATTTAGATACATGACTCTCTGTGAAATAGCTTTTGCTCTATTTTTTTCAAGTCTGGTTAAGGAGAGAATACTGGTTGGGGAATACAAGAGCATTTATTTAGGAGATAATAAGACTTAATTTAATATGAAAATTGGACTTTACTCAAGGAGCTGAGCTTGTTTTTAATTTTATCTTGTATTTAATTTTATTTATTTTGTTAATGTATTTTATGTCCCTTTCCTTTATAGATATATCCATATTCCCTTCCCTAACATGTGAGCCAACCCTCGTAACAAAGATTTAAAAAGAAATAGAGAAAAGTCTATTCATAAAAACTGATACATTGACTATGCCCAACAAAATATACAATATTCCTGTTTTCCTATTTCCTTTCAAAGTTCAATTAAAATCCAGCTTTCTAACATGAGACTTTTTTGATCAACTCCAGCTGCTAGTACCCAGCCCACTAACTTTTATTTATTTTTTAGGTTTTTAAATAATTCTTACCTTGATGCCCTGATGAGATGTTAGATTACTGAGATTAGAGTAAAACAGCACAGAAAATCAAGGGAAAAATATTGTCTTTCCTTCTGAAATATAAGCACCTGGAGAGCAGGAGATATTTCATTTTTGTATTTGTATCTCTAGCACCTAGCACAGTGCCTGCTACATTGTAAGTGTTTAATAAAATGCTTCCTGGTTGATTGATACCACACCCATACTCCCCTACTATTTTCTGTGAAGGGAAGGAGATACATTTTTTCAATTCTTCTCTTGGGTCCAGCCTTGGTCATTATAATTATAGAGCTTTCAGTTTCATTTTGTGTTCTTCCCAGAAGGGGCTGAGCTTAATAATTTGAAAGCAAAAATAAACTTAGTGATACATTTTTGATTTTCATGGTAAAATGGGTACAATAAATGTTTGAGAAATGTAAGATTTGATCTTTAATCTGGATCAGGAGAATCCTTTTGCAAAAGTATCTACCACAAATAATACTTCTGGTAGAAAGACATCTTTTAGTTTATATTTTCAAATATATGGGTATAAGCAGGTTAACATTTCCAAGGGATATGTGGGATAAGTTCATATTGCAAGTCTGGCATACTGCTTGAATCTCAAAAGCACTCAATACCTACATGTTAAATGAATCAGTATATGGATGAATAGATGATCTTAACAGAAGAGTCTACAAAGGGCTAGAAGTTATCATTGATTGCATTAATATATCTATCTACAGTATATTATCAAGTTAGTTATGCTGTTTAGTTTGTATATTGCTTATCAAATGTCAAATGTATATTGATTTATAATCTTTTCAACTAAAAATTTAATTTTAGTGTTCACATTAAAAGTCTATCTCAATGGAATCTTAAAGTCAAAATAAAAATGGGAAAAGTGCAAATTCCTTTATATGCCTTTTGTTTAAAGAAAGAAAACTTTTACATAAAGAATAACAATGAAATATCTTATCTCAGGTTGAACAACTGGGGCCCAGTTGTACTAACTGGGCATTCATTTTGTATTTTGTAGGAAATGAGGACTTAATAAAAACTATAGTCTACATTAAATCTTACAAATAACAGATCAGACCATTTGAATTCCTTCCACATGGCCTAGTCTAATAGATTGAAAATTTGGAGATTGAAGATCTCTATGATCAATAATTTTGTTCAACTAGTGTAGTTTTCAAAATTTTAAAGGCTTAGATACAATAAAATTTAAAAATATTTTAAAAATACATAGCCTAAGCTTGTGAAATATTTATGAATCATTTAGATTTTGTACTTTCTTTAGGGAATGGTGAAATAGTAAGAATAATATCTGCTATAATTGCAATTTGGTGTCAACTAATATTTGACCACTTAGAAGAAAGTTTAAAATGAAAAGGTCATATCCTTTCTTTTTCTGTCCTCTTTAATTCTTTCTCTGGTAAACATTTTGTCATGGCACAGAGGCCTTCAAGGCCAACCCAAGAGAAAACAACCTCTGCAAGGCTTTACAAATAACAATGATACCTGACATCTTCATAGAACTTTTGCAAAACATTCTTAATATAGTTTTCATTTTATTCTCGTAACAACCATATAGGAATTACTATCCCATTTTACAGGTGAGGAAACTGGATATAAGAGAGGTTAAATAATTTGCCCTTAGTTAAATAGCTAGTGTCAAAGACTGGATTCAATACCAGGTCTTTCCCAACTCCAAGCTCAACACCCTTTTTAGTGAACCCTGTTGTCTTTCTGTGCAGGTGAAACTATTTGAGTATGAAGCCAACAAAGGGTTATTTGTCATTTTTTATGGTGGAACTCACCTACCTGGCTAGCACTAGGTTATAAATTCTTTTGGCCACAGAATCTCATCAAACTGTCTACCAAGATATTGACTGCTATGTAATTGGATCACAGGATCATAGATCATTTCTCCAGAGCTAGAAGAGTACTCCAAAGCCATTCAGTCCAATCCTCTCATTTCACAGGTAAAGAAATGAGGCCAAAAGAGGTTAAGTGACTTGCCCAGAATCATATAGCTACCAAGTAGCTATGGCAGGATTTGAATCAATCAATCAGTATTTATTAAGTACCTGCTTTGTTCTGGGCACTGTGCTGGGTACTAAAGATACAAATTCAATAAATGATCCAATCCCTACTGAAAAAAAGCTTACATTCTAAGGGACAGGCAGTAAGGATAGTTAGATAGATTAATATGATAGATAGAATATTTTTGATAGAATATATATATATATGATAATAGGATAGTTATGATAAATAGATATGATCTAAAGATAAATAAGAGATAAATGGGTGGATGGATGATGGATGGATATATAGACAGACGTGTGAAAAGAAGACTCCTTGGAACAAAAGTTCAAATAGGACCCTCTGCATATCAACAGGATGAGTTCTATTTCACCAAAGACAAAAAGTTTGCTAAACTTGAGGAGACTTAGTCAAGACCATCTCTCAGCCATTTTATGCATAAGCTCAGTAAGACTTTCCAATGCAATAGAATTGTGTGCTACCAAAACCTTGAACTAGGCATGTACAGGGTTATACATATGTATGCTAGGGATATTATAATTAGTGTAAATGACAATAATAATAGCACTTAATAATAGCTACCATTTAGAAAGTATTCATTATGTACCAAAGCACTGTGCTAAGCACTTTACAAATACTATCTCATTTGATTCTCATAACAACCCTGGGAGGTAGGTGTTATCATTATCATCTTTGTTTTACAAAGGTTGTGACCTGCCAGAGCTCACATAGCTAATAAGTGTCTGAGATCAGATTTGAATTCATGTCTTCCTGACTCCTGGCCCACTGCTCTATACAGTGCATCACCTATCTCCCTCTCATGTCTCATGACAACAAAAGAAAAATATCCTAGATAATTGTTTGATTGACATTTGAAGACGGACAAGGGTGGGAATAACATTTACTAGCATCATGATGAATTGAAAAGATTAGACTTTAATGACTGTGAAGTCTTGTATTCCCGAGAGATTAGAATTTTAATTATGCTCTGTGCTGTGATCTTGGGCTCAATAGTTGCCAGCTAGTCTTATGTAGGCCTATGAGATTAGCCTCAGAACCCCTTTTGTGGCCAAAGGAGTCTCCTAATATTTGCCCATTTGGTTAATCAGATTTAGCCAAACACTAGCCTGGAAATAAATATTGCATGCCTTGTGATGACTAGAAGGGGTGCCCTAATTATCTGTTCTTCCATTAATGGACACTTAGGGAGATGATATCACTGACAGAGCATTAGTAGATCCTGGATATTAGTGGAATCACTTTGATTACTCTGGGATCAGGGAGAATGTGTAGTGATTAGAATCCTTTACCTGATAAATTCTCAAAACAATACAAACCTCACACCCAATAATGTCAATATGGTTAGGAGGTATTATACCTCATAACACAAGAGCTCTTGTGTTTTAGTGATAAGACATGCTTATGGGAAATTAATACATTTATTTATTCCCAAACTAACTTTTATTTATCATTATATAATTATAGCTTCTAACAAAATTTGCTGAGGTAGTTAAATATAATATAACACTAAAGAGTAAAACAAAGAAAAACTACTTAAACAGTGGTAGTCATTTATCATCTATTTAGAAAAGGGGAAAATTATTAAGCTCTGACTATGTTCCAGGCACAGTGCTAAGTGTTTTACAAATATCTCATTTTATCCTCACAACAACCCTAGGAGATAGGTTATATTTTACAATTTTTTCCCTCATTTTACAGTTCAGGAAATTGAGATAGAGCTTAAGAGAATTGCCCAGGTCACTCAGCTAGTAGATATTGAAAGCCAGATTTGAACTGAGGTCTTCCTGACTCCAGATCCAGTATTCTATTCACCAAGCTGCCTTTCATTTAGAGATGACATGTTAAACTTGTTTCTAAAGCTAGGATGAAAAAAATTCAAAAGAGTGATTTCAGGGACTGAGGGGAGAAATCTTTCCTGATAATATGAAACTTTCTGAAATGTTTTTCAATATTTGATCAGCACTTGACTGGTACTAAAGAGAACTGTACTTGGGAAATTATTTTGCCTAAGAGATAAAATTTTCTTTGTCACAGGACTTCTGAAGTGAAAACTACTTCCTGCAATCCAGAACCCCACAGTGTGTTTCACATCATTAATGGTGCAAAGTCATCTGCAGGATGGACATAACTAATTTGGATGTGAGGTTAAGAATGTATGCTGAACCAATAATAAGGAATATTGATTTAATTTACTTTCTCTCAGTATAACTATTTAACCTTAAGAGGAAGAAAGAAAAGTCAAATATAATTAGGGGATGGTTAGACATATTTGATTTTAATTTTTGGGCTGTTTCTTTGCCTTCCTCAGCACACCCTACAAATTCTTACCTTTCTCTATGAAAACCCTACTCCAATGCCTCATTATAGCATAGGGAAGATTCTGGATAGATGCATGAGGACAATACCAGTGGAATGCAGACCCCACCTGTCAGGTCCTACCAGTTTGGAAAGGCTGCAAAGCATAGGCTCAGATATGGATTGTATGTTTGTATGGTTGGTCTGGTTACATCAACAGAATATTGACCATCAGCTTTTAGCAGCAATTCTGCATGGCGGTTGGGTAAAAGGGATAGCCTGTGTCCACATCATCTCAGGAAGATAGTCTACTATAAATGTGGGGGGTTGAGATCAGCATCAGTGAAGGGAATAACTTTATAAATGAAATCATAGTTCCTAAAGGTACTTAAACAGTTCAATAATAGCAGGTCACATGCTGATGAATAGTATAACAGAAGTTTAAATTCCTTTGCACATGCTATCACTCACGCTTGAATACACTCCTTCCCCTACCTCTGTGAATCCCTTCTTTCCTTCAAAGCTAAGCTAAAGCATTACCTTTTACATGATACCTTTCATGATCTTCTTCCCAATTTTCTATTGCTTTCCCTCCCAAATTACATTTATTTATATCTATATACATTCATATACCTACATGTGTACATGTCTCCTCTCTCAATGGAAATACA